GAAGGAAAAGGAGCCCAGAAAAGTATGACAACACTCAGCTTCACGGGGCTTTTGTTCCCTCTGCAGGAGAACCTGGGTCAATGCCACAGCCGGGCCTGGCGGGTACTAGTGGCTCTTGTCTCTGGGTTCCCCCCCCCCCTCCTGGCTATGGCTTTCCTTTGGCATCTGCTATGGTCTAGCATTTTCCCTGGAGGACTTTTACTCAGCTCCAACAGTTCTGCTGGCTATTTTGGTCAGCTCAGTTGGGCCAGAGGCCAATGAAGCAGTTCCTAAGCCCAGACTCTGAGTTGGCAATCCTGTCAGAAGTCAGTCAGCTGCTGAGGGAAAAGCAAGGCATGGATAAATGCACTCTGCAAGCCACCACAACAGCTCAGGCACCAGCAAGTTCCCTGTTGTTAAATCTAATGGCTAATTCTTGGACTTCTGTGTTGATCTAACAGTTGAATCTTGTTCCTCTGTTAAGCACTTGACTTGTTTTCTAGGATACACTTGCCAGGCTGGCCTTCTCTCTCTTTGGCTACCTCTGTAAGTCTCCTTGGACAGTGGGGCTGCTGAGGGCTCAATCTAAAACCTATTCTTTTTAATATATACACCTACATCTTGGGAGATTCCATACATCCTCAGGTCTTTAAAAATCAGTAATATATAGATCTATAGAATCACTACTTCTAAATTTTATCTCCAGACTGTATACCTATTGGCATTTCTGCTTGGATTTATTAATGATACTGTTATGTTAGGTGCTGTACAATGTTTGAAAGAATGAAACAGTGTTATCAATAGAATTCATTAACAGACAACACCTACAGTAGCAGCTGACAAGAAAATATGTTGCATTAGAAAAATCTGCTGTTAAAGACCTCTCCAAAGTGCTAAAGAGCAAGGATGTGAGTTTAAAGACTGAAGTGCACCTGATCCAAGCCATGATATTTTAAGTGCTTTCTATATATTTGAAATCTCAACAATGAATAAGGATGACAGAAGAATCAATGCCTTTAAACTATGGTGTTGGAGAAGAGTACTGACTGTCCCAGGGACTGCCAAAAGAACTAACAAATCTATCTTGAAGGAAGTGCAGAGTGCTCTTACAGGGAAGGATGGTGAAATTTCATCTCACATACCTTGGGGATGTTTTCAGGAGGGTCTAGTCCCTGGAAAAAGACCTCATGCTGGGAATGATAGGGGGATCAGAGAAAGAGAAAAAGACCTTCAAGGAGATGGATTAACACTCTTAACAATGAGCCTGACTGTACCAGAGGTGATAAGGATGGGACAGGATAGGGCAAGGTTCAGATCTGTTTTGTTGAAGAATGAATGACTCAAATCAATCTTGGAAGTTGTGGCCCAGCAGACCCTAAATGGAAAGTTTAAGGACCAAGGGAGAAAATCTACAGATGTGTATCCTGGCAGGAGGCTGCATCAACAAGGCATGTAAACTAAGCTAAGCTGGCCAGAACTTCCAGTCTTTGCTCACTGATCCTGTCCCAGGTCAAACTCTTAACCCCTCCAGGCACTCCACGAGTGTGCAACAGCCAGTGCAGGGGCCAACACAGTCCAGCCCTGACACTGGACAAACAGCTCCAAAACACACACCCCATCACCACACACCAAGCTTCTCTCAAGTAACATGTATTGGAGATAAATTCTGTTCCAAGTCAAGATAATGAGGGTTATATGAAACTTCTTATAAACCTCCACTCCAAATTTCTCTCCCCAAAATATGTCTGTGTCATTTGCTAGTTTGAATCTTGCCTGTGTACACACATCACCCTACTGGAAAGATTCAAGATAGCAGGAACAGGGGATGGTGAGAACTCTTAACAGAAGGAATCCCAGGAAATGTTACAAACAATTTTTGTTGGGGGGGAGGGGGGAGGTCAGAAATGAATAGACCTTAGAATTCTATCCTGAAAAAGAGAAAGAAACCAAGATGTGTTTCCCTCTCCCTGCAACAAATATCATTATGTATAAACACATCACTTTCTCTGCTTCGGAACATTTATTTGTGAGTCATCATTCCCCACGTTCATCGAGGGCCAGAATCAGTCAGCTTCTGCAATAGAAGTGGTGACTTCACTTCCTCTGTGAGGCCAGCCTGTTTAGCATTTATGTCTCAGAAGGCTGGAGAATGTCTTGGTCTATTCTTTCAAGGCTAATCTGTGATCTCTAATTAGACACTGACTAGGGGGCAGAAAGATTCCTGCCAGTTCTTATTTTCTTTACACACTGTCCCTTGGAGGTCACTCTATCAAATCTCACAGAAAAGACAAATAACCCCCCAAAGAGAGGGTGCTTAAAAAGAAAGAGGACATTTGGGAATGTGCACACCCGAGCCTGATGGTTTCTGAGCCATTTAACCTTGTGGCTGAGAGGAAAGAGACTATCTAACTGCCTAAGGCATCACTCATGAGAAGGGCTGCCATCTCAGAGCCCTCAGCATCAAAAGCAACAACAGTCATCCTCACTAAACCTCTACACGGCAAGGGGTGGTGCTTCCGGTAAGGGAGAGCAAGCAAAACAAAGAGAAACTATGAAATGAAATGAAATGCCCAAAGGAGGGATTCAAACTGTTGGGTTGGCAAGCATGTCCAATTTCATGCTTTCACAAATGGACCTGGCATCTCAACACTGTTCAAAGGGCTAAACTATGGCTTACCTAAACTGAACACTTGGCCATTCTACTTGCTCCTACTCATCTCCTAAAATCAAGCCAGCCTGAAGGCTTTACTGTGGAGAAGCGCCGTGGCATCCTGTGAACAGCAACCTCACAGCCTCCTGGAGGAACGCTTCACGCATGCTGGAAGTCTTGCATTTCCCTGAGCTGCTAGTGCTGATACTGAGCTGGCGCTGCGGCTTTTTCAGTATCCCATGAGACAAGTGGGAAAAGATCACCGTTCCATTCCAGAATCTCGTCAGTCAGAACAAATCTACCAGTAGTACCTGAGAGCATCTCCTCAATGACAGTTTACCACTTAGGCTGGCAGTGCCCTTGAGTCAGAAATGTCCTAGGTTTTTACACTGGTCACTCATCTTCCCAGTTGCTTCTACAGGCTTCTGATAGAGAAGGGCTTCTAAGAGAATGCTGCTAGACAGGAAATAATGGATTCAGATCTGTTGTTCAAAGGGTTGCTACACATCATACTTGACCTGATGGCACCAAATGGTATTAAGAGAGATTACCCATTTATTTTCAAAAACAGCAAGATCTAAATGTGGCTCCATAAGGCAGGAACTAAATAGAGCTTTCTCCCTCCTACAGCCAGTCAAGTCACACACAGAGTTGCATGCATATTCAAAACAAAAGCAAAAAACACTAAAAAATGCATTTCAAAATGGTATTCATTTCTCAGTTCCTGGTTCCAAACTTACTGGTTTGGAAAAAAGTTCAAAAATCCAGTTAAGATGCCCAAAGGGACACCTAAGACATACTATCCAATAGGCATATAAGAAAGTATCTGAGCTTCTCCAAACAGATTTCACTCCAAGTTTGTACTTCAAAAGATTCAAGAATCAATCTATGATGGAATTCCAGGTATGTTCACATCACTATATCCCTGCATTTGATGAGTTATCTGACAGATTCACCCTCTTCACTGCACATAAGAATTTAAAACAGAACAAGACACTGCAGTGATATTCGTTATTGCAGTCAATGGAGTACTTTGCATTATTAATCAAAATTAACTCCTGTGATCTAGACTCTAACATCAATGTCTTCACAGCCTATTCCCTAAAACTCCCCAGCACTAAGAACCTTATCAATGAAATAACAATTCAACACTCTTAATTTAAGGGTACAGTGTCATCAACAGTGCATACCAGCGCCTTGAGTAGCTGGCACCCTTCTTTTGACAATGAAGGATCCTTCCTAACGGGAGACCTTCAGGCAATTCATTGTTTAAAGTAGATCTGCTCCCTACCTTCTCTAGGAAACAAAAAATATGTATGGAAGAAGTAACCGCAAAAGAAGAGCCAAACTTCGGAGAAGATACACTGAGAAAAGCCAGACCAAGTCCCCCTGGGTCAACTCAATTAAGAAACAAACATGACAGCATATTGGAATTCAAACCAAGGAATGCAGTGAGGGCAGGTTTCTCAATTGCCCGGAGAAGACTCTTTCTGAACTAAAATTAGAAAGCAGCCAGGAAGGTAAGCCAAGAATCATGGGTAAGAGGCCGAGAACCGTAAGTCAGCACTGAGAATAAAGGGAGGGTGGAGGAAGAAAGCAAGTCTCCATTTTGCTTTATTTCATCAGTCATTCTTCAGGATCAGGTCAGGGCTTTGGGATTTCTGCAGTACTCCGATGGGATGTTAGCGAGAAGCTCTATCGACAAGTCTTTCAACTTCCCACAATTCTGCTAAACGCTTGCAAATACATAGCTGGAGAAGTCCAAATAATACATAAAAATATTTTTGCCCACTCTGCAACCTAAGGGAGAGAGGTGATCGGCCTTGGGCATGCGTGGTGCCCTAACACCATTTGGCCTGGGATACACTGGAGCCAGATTTGTTTCTACCCCCCGACGTGCTGCGCTGGTTGTCACAGCCAGAATCTCATGTATTTCCTACACTGCGGAAAACTATCGCCAGTGGCTAGGAGAGGGCATGAGATGTGTCGGCCGCCTCCTTGGAGAAAACTAGGCTTTGTAAGTAGGACAGGTAGCATAGAGGTGAGTGCGCGACGAGGCAGAGGGGGTACCAGCCCTCCCAGGTGCCCGCTCGGCTCTCCTGTCCCCGGAAGCGCCACCCTCCCGCCCGGCGGGCTCCGAGGGGGCGGGGAGTCGAACGCCCCCTTCCGGGTGCCTCCGCCCGGCTGGCCAGCCCCGCTCCTCCTCCGGGCGGGAATCCTCCCTCCCCCGCCCCTCCCGAAGCCGGGCCCCGGAGTCAGGCCTGGCCCCAGGGGGAAACCCCCAGCCCCGACTCTCCCTCCCCGCGGCCTCTGCTGGTCTTCCCGGCCCTTTGCGGCCGGAAAGACCCCGCCGGCAGCAGCCAGGACCCACCGCTCATTACGACATCTTCCTCCTTGGCCTCCGCCGCCTCCGCCGCCACCGAGAGCCTGACACCGCCCGCCTAGCACCCGCCAATCCCGGAGCCCGCCACTGCCCGAGCGACGGCAGCACTGGCCAATAAGAGTTCAGTACATTGGGGACCGACAGGACTTCTAGCCAATCAACGGGACGTATCTAGAGCGACGTTGGTTTGACCAATAGACCTGTGAAATGTCATTGATAGACGGCAAAAACCGCCAACCGGAAATCGATTTTCCAATAAATGACATGCTCACCAGCCAACTGGCGGGAAGCAAAGTCCCGCCCGCCAGGTGGTTGATGGACAGCAACAGGAAGCTAGGTTGGGCGGGGCTTAGCTGAAGGCTGTTTTTGTATTGGTCGTGGTTGACCTCCCACCCACCTCTAACCCAGAAGATGAGTGATAGATCTACCCTAAAGCCAATCAGAAGTCCTTAAGGTGAGGCAAGGAATGCCCTATAAATAGCATATACATCGCTCCTTAAATCCCATATCGCATTGGTGTGGCAGGGCTTCCTTTCGCTCTTTATCCCCAGCTTTCTACCATTCAACCTCTTTCCTGATTAGTGGGGAGCCAACCACCTTTTATATGATAGCCCCTCGCCCTTCATCACCTTAGGGGTGAGAAATGTGCCTTGGCGACCTTGCATAGTAAAGTATTGGGGTCCAGCACAATGAGGGAACATGTTGATCCTCACCTGTTTATTGCGGTGACATCACGCCCCCAACTGGCTAATCATCTAACACGCAAATCTGAATAATCGCCCGGGGAAACAGATTCCCGGGGGCTGCCTCTAGTAATCCGATTCAACTGGTCTGGGGCGTGTCTGAAATCTGCATTTTAATAAATGCCACTGGCCGGCTGAATGGCACACTTAAACTAGAACCACTGCCTGGTCTCTGCCCCATTTACCTCCTTGAATGAGGTACTGTGAGTAAAACACTTGGCAGACACCACTCGGGTAGGCTACTCTTTCCCAGTTCCCTTCCCTGTGGACACGTGAGTTGGGAAGCTGCCTGACAGAGTATATCCACTCTGGCTTCTGACTAGCCTGAATTCATACCTCACATCCCACTATCAAGAAGGCCTTAGGGAAGATACAGAATAATCACACCTACACGTCAAAGCAGTGTATCCTCTCCCCGCCCCCATATACCTTGCATTGTCATGCAGTATCCTTGCCTGAGTGTATCCAACCAAAGCAAAGCTTTGGGAAACCCCTACTCTCACTCCCTGTGAAGTATCCTAGTATTTCCTATTATAATTATTTCTTTTTCCTTGTTATACATTACTGACATTTTGCAAAACAAAGCTTTAGAAGACTCAGTGTGCAAAAAGAAAATACGGAGTGTAAAAGAAAATACAGAGGGGAAAAAATAGAGAAGAATGTACACTGTAAAGCTGGGTAATGTCTTTCCAATCTACTCTTCTCAGTGCTAACCCTTTGAGAAACAAAACTTGGAGTAATATCATTCCTCCCTCATAGATCCTTCGCTAGATCTCTCTGCCTTTCCTGGTAAAGCCAACCTTTCTAGGCAAGTAAGTTCCTTCACACTCTTCACTGTTTTTCTAGCTTAATTTCCAAGCTCCTTCCTCCATTTTCTTCCTAAAAGTCTTACCCATTTGTCAGAAAATAGTCTGAAGTACCTAAACACCTGTATTTTTTTAGATTTCCCTTCCTTTCTCCTGGTAAACGCATGCATCCTTGAAGACCCTGCCTAATGAGCACCTTGTCTCTGAAATCTTTTCTGGCCTCTTCCCACCCAGTCGTAGCCATTGCCTCCTCTCTGCTGCTCTGGACTGCCCTTGGCATACGCGAAGAGCTTCTCTTGCAAATACTTCATTATACCTTTTTTATCGTTTCACTTCTGACACCCCCTATTGACAGCAAGTTGCATTGGAAGCCTGTAGTGGGAGGACTGGCATGAAATGTATGCTTAGTTAAAGAATGAGTATTTGCATACTCTCACGGCTACATGGGGCTTATTTAAATAGTCTATACTGCACATTCTGTTCCCAGCCATTTTTCAAGTTAAGATTGCTTCACTGTCAAGCCAACAACTCCACCCAGGTTGGGTGACTCAGCTATATTAGGGTGCAAGGATTTTTTGCGGGGGAAGTGTAGTTGAATATCTTGCAAGACCTTTTCTGGGACAAAAGATGGAGGGCAGCTGCTGATTCTTTCATCCTTAGAAGTAGAGGCACCATGGTGAAGACAACAGGTGAAAAAAGTTGGATATTGTAACGGAGCGAGTGCCCAAAAAGATCACCGAGCCAATTAGCCGAATTAACAAAGTTTATTTTGAGCTCGAACCCGGGCTCCCACGTGCTGACACAGCAGCATCCACCCGAGAGCCCCGAATTGATATCTGCCTCTCCTTTTATACCTCTGCTACTCCCCTGCCCAACCATACACGCCATGCATGATTCGCCATCCACTGTAGTTGGGGTATTTGTCCACCTTCAATTGGCTAGCCATAGCTCAGGGAAACAGTTTGGAAACCTATTTGAATCTTATCGGTTACTTCAGATACAGGAATGCGGAAAAATCCCTTGTGCCCTTGAAAAGAAGAAGAATTCCACTTGATGGCAGTTGATCAATCAGGGTGGGATTTACCACAGGTGGGGGTTGTTTGTTAAAAAACCACTCAAGCAGGTGGGCTGGGGTTAACTGTACTTTACCAGAAACTGAGTTTCTGATAAATGGTCCTTTCAGATATGAGGAAAGGGCAGGGAGCTCTGGTGGCTTAGTGGTAAGGAGTTGGACTACCAGCCCAAAAGCATCTAGTACAAATCCACCAGCTGCTCTGTAAAGATGGGCAGTCTCCTCTCATGAGATCATTGGTTTTGAAAACTCAATGGAGGGTCAATTATGAATTGGTTCTGACTCAATGGTACATCCTAACAACAAACATGAGATAAGGACAGTGTGTCAAATAAGACTGAATAATTTTTTTAAATTATTTGAACAGTAATTTTTTTTAGTCCCTTTTTTTGTTTGGGTTTTTTTCTTTTTTTCCATTCCCCTTTATTTCTAGGCTATCCTGCTCCTTTCTTATCAGAGACACAGCTAAGGAAGGAAAGACTTTCTAAGATTAACCCCTTTGTACTTTTGTTAGAATTTTTGAAGCTATAAACCCCGCAGACCAGCACATAACTTCTCTTACATCTCTTTTTCAAGATGGCAACCTCCTCAGCAGAGAAGGAAGAGGCCAGGAGCCACTAAATTCCCACCTTCTCCATATCTGCACTTTACACTCAGTGAGGAGCATTTAATGCCTTCTGAAGTCTGGAGATCCCAGACTCTCATAATTTCTGGGAGGAGACCCAAGTGCCAGCCAATATTTAGAAGCTCCTCAGGTCTAATGTTGAGGGTCACTCCACAGGCAAAGATACCTTTCCACTAGGAGTGCTCAGCTAAAAATGTATGAAAATCAGTGTCTATACCCTCTCCCAGTCCTGAGGTCAGGGCCAACAAAAAGGTGGTTCAAGTTGTGCCTTCCAGTGTCAGCCAGCGGAGAGAGTCTGTTCCCTTGTGTGTTTGGGAGCAGGTTCTATGTTCTTTTTCTTCTGGTCTTCAACTTCTTTCTACTCTCAGTTGTCACCTCCTCCTCATTTCCAATTTATAAAGCTACCTACCCAATTCTCCACCACTAAAAGTCCCATGTTTGGTCCACCACTGCTCTATACTCAGTAAATGATTGTTGAGTGCATCCTGTAAATACTTCCCTTAGGCTTTTCCTCTTCTCTCCCAGGCCTTCCATTTCTCTGCACCCTTCTCAGCTGCCTCTTGATCCCACACACTCTTCATTTCTCCAAGGGCCTCGCTTCCTCGTAATGATGTGCATGGTGCTGGACATCCATTAACAAGAAGACTCTATCAGGCCAGCTTCGCTGCCTGCTTGATCCTAACCAGAGCTTTACAGTCTTATTTCTTTTTTAAGAGGTACAGCCCAGCTCAGCCTTCTAAAATCTGCTTCTGCCTTCAAGATTCCCCAGTATAGCTTCTGTCTCCTAGGCTTTTCTGTTTTCTTCTCTTTTCTTTTTCTGCCTATGGAGAAATGAAAGATTTTCCCAATGGTCCCAAGATTTAGCAGAACAAACACTTGATTGGAATGAACCATAGTTGCCCCCTCCTCCCCACCCAGTGATCCATCTAGAATTCCTATTCTCCAGGTTTCCTGAACTGGAAAGGTTCCTTGCCATCCGGTTGATTCTGACTCCGGGTGACCCCACATGTGCAGAGTAAAATGGCCTTGGCAAGTTTCCAAGGAATAGGTTTTCAGAAGCAGGTCAGTCTTCAAGGGCACCTCTACGTGGATTTGAACTACCAACCTTTCAATTAGTAGTTGAGCACTTAACTCTTTGTGCCACTCAGGGACTCCTGAGAAGTTGAGAGGCTGGGAAACCTTGCTACTCTGGTAACTCCTCTCCCTCGATGGGCTCAGAGGACACACACAGCCACCAATGTTTCTCCACTTCCCAGGAATGCCATTCCTGTTCTGTTCCTGACTCGTCAACTCAGCCTTTCTGGTCTCTCTTCCCAGGCTGATGTCTGACCACTAGCTGCAACAGAATCTTCCAGCAAAGACATTCCAGTTCCGTCTATTCTACCTCATTGGGTTATTTCTTTTTCCCTGGTTCTATTTGCCCCAAATCTCCTGAGGTGGAGCATGACTACTCTGGAAGGAGGGGCAGATCGTGAAGAAAGAATCTCTACGGACGGATGATGCTGGTGCTTCCTAAACTTAGTCTATAACCACCAGGGGGCGCCCAAGGCATTTCTAAAGGCAACTACTCAGTTTTAATCTTGTCGTATGGAAGGCAAGTTGGGAAATTCAGTTTAACAAGCATTTATAGAAGGTCTACTGTTTGTTTGCGAGGCACATGCCCTGCTTAAGCTGGAGACTGAAAGTACCTCCAAAGCCTCTACAAAGAGGCTTCTTGAGAATAGCCATTTGTGGGTAATCCTTGTCTACAAATGATTGGAAAAAAAAAATCAGAGATTTGTAAACGTTCATGCAAAGAAAATAGATTACAATTTTTTTAATAAAATAAAATAACCATTTACCCTTTCCAGGAATCTATTTCCAGCCTTTAACTACATGCTCCCCTT